TTTTAATTTCCTGTACGAACTTCCACACCCATTTTCATATTATTAGTATTATCATCATAAGACTTCATACTTTGACCCACTTCATACTCTGAGATAACTTTAATTCGTAATCTATACAAATATTATAACGAGGAAAGATTTGAGTGGTTGTTTGTTTGTTTGCATCGTATAGGCTCCGAAAGTACTAGACAGATTTATTTAGTACGAAAAACGACATCTTACTCGAGTAGCTGTAATTTACGCGGGCGAAGTCGCGGCGAACAGCTAGTTTAGAAATAAAAAATCAAAATGGTGAATCTCTTTTGATGAAATTTCTAAGAAACCACGGAAATAAATTCCATTATAAGTACGTTAAATTCGGTTCATAAGTTATGAAATTAAATCGGTCATACAATAAAAAAATATATAAACCTATACGGAATGAGAAACTATACTCTTTTTTAAGTCGGTTAAAGGGGTAGAATGTTGATGTTAACATACGTTTTTCCTAACTTTTTACAAATTAGGAATATTACCATATTTTAATAAATAATGATTTTATATTTTCAATTTGATTTATCTTTAATTTAGTTTTCCTAAGTTAAGTTGCCTAAAAAGGCTTTAGTTTTTATGACAATAGATGGCGTTAATTGAAAAAATATATATATAAATATATTAAATGCAAATGTCATGTCAATAGAAGCCACACGCAAACACAGATGCGCCGTGAAAGTGTTTATTCGAGAAAGATCCGTCGTGTATAGGAATGGTACCGAAGGTTTCTACTGTATTTTACTGCGCGTAGTGGTCCAAGTGTGTCAACTACATTACTACATACAATTGGTATGCGTTTCGCTAGTAAAACTTGAAGTGAATTAATTAACCTCGAGTTGTAGTCAAAGCTTCCTTATCAGTTTTGTGATTTTCTTTGACTTCTAGATATCATGTGTTATCGTTACCTTCACTTATTTGTAGACGGTGTTGATGACGTTTCGATTTTTTTTTAATATCTCACCCGATAATATTGAATTATATTTCTTGATGATTCCAATTTAAAAATTTGTCTAAGCTTCTGACTGCGTGATCATAGACGTGATCATTATTTTTTTTTATGGTGTTCTCATGTAAGTTATTGTGCCCTAGTTGCACTAACATCTGCTTAAACTGTCATTAATTTAAAGCGATATTACCGATACTTTAAAATTAAGGACTGGTAAAAGAGCTTAATTTTTTATTTTGAATATTTAATAAATCAATAAAATATCGATAATATTAAAATTATATTTCTGTGCATTGTGTACTGGTAACATTGGTAATTTTCCATTTATTAAATTTTTTATAGTAGCAAGTAACTGTATGTATATTGACAAAAATATAAATACAGTTGCTTGCTTGGTCATCAACAACCAGGTTTTGTAAGGAATACCATGTACAACCTATGTAATTTGTAGGCACCTGTTTTTCTAATCCATGTGAATAGAAAAACAACCTCAATACAATTTAAGGTAAAGAACACAATATTACATGTATGTATATATGTATTAGCTCGGTGGCGTAGATAAGCGCCACAGTCGGCGATTGTTGTTGTTAAGCAACTTTCATGAGGGTCGGTCACGGGATAGGTAGGTAACAAAAAAAACAAAAACATTTCGAGTTACTCCGTACTATGAAAAGCACGTTAAGCTGTTGGTCCTGGCTGCATTGGGCCAGCTCTCTGGGCCGCTCTGGTGGGGTCATGTCTCATCCTCCTTAACCATCCATAAGGAAGGCCTGAGCTCCTGCAATGGGGACATAAAGGGCTGATGATGATATGTATCATAATATTCTTTGCTGAAAAACTATTTATACTAATACACTTAACAATAAAAGTGCAGTACATATTAAATGTAAGTACACTTTTAAAAGTGTCCTTCACCTTTGACATCTCAGTTTCAGATAGTTAAAGCCTATTGCCGTCTTTTGTACTTGACCTTGTAATCTTACTAGTAGTTAGGCCCTTGCGAATAACGGTTTAAACGCTCGCCGTTGTTGGCGGTGCTAGGTGAAAGCCGCGTGACTGGCGACTATATCTGTTTTATATCTCATATCTGGTTTGAAAGCGCCAATGCGTTTTATTTTTGCAATGAATGTAGTAGTAGGTACATTAAGTTTAATTTTCTTCACTTTATAATGACAGAGATTTCTAATGAAGGTGTGAGTGTTTGATGAATTTAGTTCCTTTTTGCATTTTTTTATAGCTCGTGTAATTAACTAACCGTCAAACAATAAAGGAAAAATATCGAATGTAAAATATTGTTTTCAATATTGATAAATGCAGCAAGTGCCTCTCGAAACTGAGGAGTAAAAGTTTAGTGTCATATAGAAAATCTTCGATTAGGTACACCTAAAGTATGCGAAGTATTTAAATAAAAAAGGACCCAGTTTATTGCATTGTCAGTTCTCTTTTACCTATAACTTATACCAATATTCGTGATATTAAATGATAAGTAAAAGATTGTTTGTTTGCATTGAAGAAACTTCGAAACTACTGGACAGGTTTTAAAAATTCTTTCAGTTGCGCAGCTTCTTATCTCCATGCAAACCTAAGAATCCTAGGCATAATTCAATTATTTCAACACATTTACAATTTTTATTTCAATATAAATTTTATTTCTGATATAAAATCAATAGGCATTATAAATATTTCAACAGTAAAATACTTATAATCAGCTTAGCTTAGCAGATTTGTACCTTTTGATTAATTGGGTATGGATCTAGTTTTATATAAATAAATGCAATTATTATTTCATAATGATTATTAGCTTCGAGAAAAATTAAATATCTTTGTAATTTATAAAAGCAAATTCAAAGTACTGGTTTTGTTGTAACTTCAAAACCAAATTATGATTTTCTTGTATTTAACTGCAGAAGCTCCTAATGTATTTTTTGGAGATACTTACATACCATTTTCATTACATTTTCTAGATATTACCTATTTTTCGTTTCTATGTTACTGTGAAGATAAAAAAAAAAACAAAATTGTTTTTACAGATTATTTAGTACAATACTTTACCTATTCATAGTGTTAAAGGAGATTTCGTAGACATGTATAATTTATTATTTATGACAGATGCACCATGCAATTTATATCGGTGTATTCACATTATTTAAAAGTTCATCAGGAAGCAACTTCATTGGAATCGCTTTTCAGTAAATGCCATTTGAATAATTGGCATACAACGTGAATACGAGGCGAATTTTGACTTACCTTGAACTCTTTAATACGGATATTAAATTACGATTCCGAAGTGAAGTGTAGGCAATAAATAATCACAATTATAATTCCATGCTCCATAAGAGAAATTTCAAGTAATATACTTATGAATCACTACGAAATTTTTTGAATGCGAGGATAACGTACCTATCAACTAAATGTCATGATGATAATCCGAATTTTATTGTATAATTTCTTGGAAGAGGAAATGAAAGTAGTGAATTAAAATAATTTGTAAGTCAACTATATGCACTCTTTTCCTATCTGTCAAAGATTAAAAGGAAACTTGAATATTATATATTTTAAGATAGAATCTAGTCTAGCTATATAAAGCCCACCAAAAACATTTTTATTTAAAATATTGCCAAGACGATACAGCATGTCAAAAAGTTTAACCTCTTATGCAGAGTCAAGCTAACTCTAGAATCCTTAATCGATATACTGCATGAAATATCCATAATTTTATATTTAACATTCTAGTAGCATTGATTTCTCAAGCGGAATAGTGACGCATAATATTAATGATTCCAATTTCATATCATCCACAATTATATATGTAAATGTGATTAAGTCGTGCATAATCATGCGTTACTGACAGCTGCAGTAGATATAATTATATAACACATATTATTCGATTATGATTGACTAGATTAAACGCATTATGACGAAGAATTACTGTTATATAAACAACCAAACAGGATGTTTATTACAGCTTTGTCTACTATGTATTTTTATCAGTGCTACATTACCCCTAAAACAATCGCTAAGGCCCTAACTAATTAGTAATCTTTAGGGTGTAACGTCTTTGGGATACCAGAAAAAGCCCGAAAAATGTTTTTAGCATAAATATGTTTGGAAATTCGCGCGTTTATTACTCAACTTATCTTGTGATTTTCTCATCGTGCAAAGCATCTGATATACACAATTTAATTATTATAAATCTTTGCTATAAAACCATAGAATATTTTGTGAAAAAATGCATTTATAATTTCATATGTATTTACATACAAGAAACATTTTTTACATCTTGATATCTGTATTTAAAATACTTGTACGATATTTTGAATATGTCACATATCTGACAATCTCCTTGGTATATCTTAATTACGTAATATTTTTAATACATCGATAGGTACTCGCACTACTCTTCATGCTTATAAGCACGAAATATCACAGTCTGGTACCCGTTTAACTTCTTTCTAATCATTTAGTAACGACTTCTCGTGGACAATTTTTCCCTTCACTACTAGTTCATTGGTGTCTGATCATATTGTACGGGAACGGTTTCTAGAATCATTATTACGATTCAACAGGCAAATATTATTAAGTTTCAAATTGCTTATTTTTGCAATACATCAATAATATTGGCATATCCTGCCTTTACCTTTACCTTTAATTTATTTTGAGACCAAAGCGTGTATGTGATTAATGTTATCTACGGTATGCATAATGGAGAAGAAAAAAAGAGCGATTTGGTTTTTAAATTCGACGAGTATGTAATTTATTATACCGGCTTCCCCTTCAATTTTAGAACAAATTGTTTTTTTATAAATCGTCTCATTACTTTTGTTTTTGTATCAAAATAACTGGCGCAATATTCTAAATAAAAAAAAAATAAACGAAATATTTATCGAATTTAGAAAATGCACTTTTCGTTTCAGTTTTCTTTCGTTTGGTTTCCCATGATTTTTCTCATGTTAACATAAAACTTTTACATGTAAGTTTACAGAATATTATTGTGTTAATGTAAATTAATATTTTGTTACAGCCAAGTCAAAATGGATTTGGAGTTTCGGAATTTGAAGTATACAGTGTCCAGTCCTATATCGAAAGGTAAGAATACAAAATGAGTCATTCATAATAGTTTTTTACACTACGCAAATAACTGATATTTGACCTTATAATTCTGACGATTCGGTAAAACATGTGTGTGATAGTTTATATGTTTTTATGCAAACAATTCTAAAATGACTTTCTCTCGCCTCCTTCGAATCATAAATGGAATTTATGATTCCATAGCTCCATAACTTCTATAGCTCTCTCTTTCTCTAATTTCGTATCATCGAATGGTGACGCGATTTTTGAAGTTTATTATCCGTGCAAAGTTAGGTTGGGTTACTAGTGAAATAAGTGTACCAACCAGTGTGTGGGAGGCCGCACACTTTTGAGAAACTTCGGGACAATTTGACAATCGGGACAATCGAACGCTTATCAGAAGTAATCGGACTTCAGTTCAAAGTATATAATAGTTTTTTTTTTTATATTAAGATTAGATTGCGTTGTGGAGGAACCAATGTGGTGTGGCCTTAAGCCCGAATGTAGTGACTGTCGGGCGTTATCAAAAATCGGGAAAATTATTAAGAAATGTAAACGCGGGACAATACCATTGAAATCGGATCTGTCTCTGAAAATAGGGGACGGGTGGCAACCCTGACACAACTGTTTATTGGGTACTCAGTAGTAAATCAGAATATCCAAATTTTATTTTCCAAGATAATAGGAAAAGCAATGTTTTATTTACAAACATTAAAATATCTAGAGGTCACTTGCAGATTATAGAAATGTTATAATTTGTAACTACCAATGGCCTTTTGTAAAAGTAAAAAAAAAAAGACTGTCATCTCCAAAGAGGCAATAAAAAATTAGGGAAGTTAACATTTTCTGATAATGACTCTCTGACAGATAAAGCAAATTTCTGCGGTTATAATGTTATTTTTATACCGTTATTGCGTCAAAAAATTTGAACCTATTTTTAAAGCACGGATGTGCCGCTTTAGTAAGTATCGAATCAAATATACGCTTTAACCAGTTGTGAAATATACAAAATTATAATAATAATATACTAAAATCTTAAAGTGAAATCACTTTAAGGTAAACGCCTAATTTAATAATCATAATAATAAATCAAGTGATCATGACAAGAGATATATTGGATAACAATGAATATTTATAAAGTAAGCAATGTCGTACTTTAAATGAAATATGTAATTTACAATGACAATTACGTACCTTTATTTAATTGTACAAATATGTAATTTTTAAATAACATTTTCAAATCTATATAATAACTTTTTATATTACTTCTCAAAAGTTATATAGTAAATAATTATATCCTAGTCGTGGTTCTGATTTTTCAGCGTACTTCAGATACATGTTATAGGGTTAAATTAGATTCTTTAAGCTAAACATATTTTCATTAAAATTATTTTAAAGAGCATTTAATTATCTATCCTTTCTTACGGCGACCTCCGTAGCCGAGTGGTTCGCACGCCGGTTTCAAGGTGTCGCCATCTTTGAGGTCCCGGGTTCGATCCCCGGTCGGGTCAATGTAGAAAATGAACTTTTCTATATTGTGTTGGGTCTGGGTGTTGTGTTACTTTCAATGTCTCAGATACTCCATAATACGGGGGCTTTGACTACTCATCTTGAAATCTGAACAATGTATGTGATATTGTGTAATATTTATTTATTTTATGCACGTAATATTTTTATACGCACTTTGTAGTCAGTCGCCTTAACATCAATCAGAAATAATTACAACGAAGAGTATCGCCAGTCAAATATAATATGGCTGTATACCTACTCTTTAATTTTAGAAGATTTTAAATTCATGTCTGTAGGTAGATATAAATCCAATGCGTTTTTATCTCACGAGTTTTACTAAGATATCGTCAAAGTCATCTTGATGGGATACTTCAAGTTATTTTTTTGGTATACAGCGGTGCTAGTCAGTGACATTGTATTGATCTTCTCTTTCTCACAAGCAAAGTAAAAAATCCAGCGTTGTTATTTTGTCTTTATACATATGTTATTTATACCGGATCGGTTAAAAATAGGATCTGGGGGACAATTCTTGTATCGTATGTCACTTAGTAGAATAGAAAAACCATTATAAACTGTAGTTTCGTTCAGTTTCGATCCGTTTTCGATCCGATTTAAACAAAATTTATTAAGTAGAATTGGCCCCCTGGTTTTCTACATAGCAATGAATGAATTAATGAATGAATGAATACGCTTTATTGCGTACAAATACAGTTATACAAAACATTTACAATTAAAACCAAACACTTCTTCCAGGCTACCCTTGACTAAAGGAAATTATACCAATTAAAGAAACGAGTGAGTAGTGGGTTGATCTATGATAAATGTACTACATAATTACTATAAAACAGAAATACACACATAGATATATTACATACCTCATATAAAAAAGAAGACAATATAATTTAGGAGGAAAAATCCAGCTCGAGGAAATGTTCTTTTATCTGTTTCGTAAAAGAGTCACGTGATTGTGCACGTCTGATTTCTACCGGTAGAGAATTCCATAATTTAATAGCTTTAATAAAAAAAGGACTTGGCTAAGAAATCAATGGAGTGGGACGGAATGATTAAAGATAGGTTATGAGAAGAACGCAGATCACGGATAGGATTGGTAGAGTTAAAGTTAAAGCGCTCTTTAAGATATGGAGGAGTTTGTGGGAGGAACAAGATGGAGTAAAGGAGTGATAGGATGTGACAGTCTCTTCTACGAGAAATAGGTAGTTGGGCACGATATTCAGAGATATGGTCATACTTACGTAGACCAAATATGAAACGTATACATAAATTTTGGAGACGCTCTAGTTTATTCAGGAGGACAACACTTAGGTCAGAGTAACATACATCAGCATAATCAAGTAATGGGAGAAAAAGGGACTGCGCAAGAGAAATTCTTAAAACGTTTGAGCGAGCTGTACGCGCCAAACACCCTCCTACAGACCTCTCCAACATGTTGGCTCCAAGATAAGTTTTTATCAATTATGACACCAAGATTCCTAACAGTATCCTGAAATGGTATATGAACGCCATTTAATAAGATTGGAGGTAGTGCTTCATAATTTATTCTCGCCTGTTACCAATGGCTTCCAATAATAATTGCCTGAGTTTTATGAGGGTTAACTATTAGACCGTGTCGACGACTCCAATCGCAAATCTGCTCAAGATCAATGTTGGTGGTAGCAATTGCTGTACATAGATCATCTATTGATGTTTGAGTATAAAGTTGCAAATCATCAGCATACATGTGATAAGAAGAAATAAGAGGAAGGGTGATTGAATTTATGAAGATAGAGAATTGGAGAGGATTAAAAGGAGAGGAGCAATCCCTAGTTACTCTCGATTATCCCTCCCTACCACGCAAGGGAACCTGGCTTGAGGAACAGATTAGAACAGAATCTACTTAAGTGTTTTGCAAATCTACAATACATTTACTTTCTAGCCCGTTTGTATAAAAAGTAGAAAATGGACAAATCTATCTAGTTTTGCCCATTTTCTACTTTTATACACACAAATAATTTAATGATTCTCTCTTAAATTTCTACGTTCTATTTTGTGCGAGTACAATTTGTAAAGAAATTTTTGTTCATTCAATGAAAAGTAAAAGTTGTAACTTAACCTAACCAGTGTAGATCATAATTATTTAATATAGTAAAATGTAAACAAGTGCTATATTGGGTTCGCTTTTGTTTGTTGTTTTCATATACGACTTGGTCTATAGCTTGTCCAGTCGATCTCTTTTCTATGCAGACGATCTTAAAATTTTCACCGAAGTTGGGTACATGGGGCAGTGCATTGCACTTCAGAGTGACCTTGAAGCAATATCTAACTGGTGCTCTCTCAACATGATAAATCTCAACGTCAAAAAGTATGACAATATTTCTTTCACCAAAAGGAAAAATAGAATATGAATAACAATTATCACTTGCAGAACCAGTTATTAGGTAGAAAGGATGTCGTAAGTGATCTGGGAATGCTTTTCGATGAAGAACTTAGTTTTTGTCTTCACTACTTACATATAACCAAGTGGGCTAATAGGATTCTGGGATTTATAATCAATACAACTATAGATTTTAAAAGCCATAGTAGTGTGTTGTTTCTTCATTCTAGTTTAATCAGAAGCGTGTTGGAATATTGTTGTCCTATTTAGTCACCATATTATACTGTACACCTGGATGCATTGGAGAGTGCAAAGACGATGCTTAAAATATGTTTCACGCAAATATGGTTGACAAAATTTGGTATGATTCAGTTGGCAGCTTGCAGCAATAGATATGACCTCCTCTGTCTACATAAAATAGTGCATTTGCTTATTGATTCGCTTGGGTTACTTTCCTCAGTCCACATTAATACCAGGCGTAAGTCACGTTACCCTAACAAATTTTCAATCCAAACCAACAAAAATAATACGTCTTTTTATAACCCGATCGTAAGAATGTGTCGTACATATAATGAATTGAATCGTAATATCTGTATAAGGATCTGTTGATATTTTCAATAACAAATCTTCACAAAATAAAAAAAAAATCATATCAGATAATTTTATAATAATAATATAAACACCACTTAAAATTTAAATTTACTATATACGAAAAGTTATTTAAGGATCTGTCCATGGATGTAGTAAGTTAATACTGTTAATGCTGTGTGCACTGTTTTTAGATTATAGTCTAGTCCAAATATGTACTTTAAGGTCGCGGGAAGCCGCTGGATGCGGGAGGCGCAGGACCGATCGCTTTGGAGATCTTTGGGGAAGGCCTATGCCCAGCAGTGGGCGTCTCTCGGCTGAATTGATGATGATGATGTACTTTAAAAATGTTTGCAGGTTCCTCTATCGATTATGACAGAGTATAAAGAGTAAGTGCTCTTCTTACATTTGTTTGTATGTGAGCGCGCCAGTACTTACAAAATTATAGAAGTTATAGGAGTTCAAAGCACGAGTGGCATCTCGCCAGTAGAGGCTAGTACGCCGCGCTTGCGTATATTTCGCGTCGCTGTTTTGCCGCTCTTTATAAATT